CTTTCATCAACATTAATATATCACTTAACTATTAACTTTTCATATATCAGTCACCTACTTGTTTTTTGGCCAGATATCAGTTAACTGTTAACCCCATTCGCGCCCTCCTACAAGCTGTACTGATCTTTCAGTTACTGAATGCTCATGACTGTTTAGTTGCAAAGTGATGAAGTAAGTGTTAATGTTGGCTTATGGGAGAGGTAGGTTGGCAGTTTCCAAGAAACGTAAATGATCCTTTGATTTGAATTCTGTGCTGAATCCATTACTTAGCGCCTATACCCATGCCAAAAATGTTCCTGTAGAGTTTTGAACACGATATCAAACGAATTTCATCAGGGAGCAAAACCATACTAAATTTTTTGGTGATTTTTGCAGGCAAATGTGAAGTGTTCTATGAGAATCTTTTGATTGGGCAAGAAAAAGGTGCCCTTCCTTCTCGCATCCGCATTGCTAAACCTTGGAGACAAAAATTTCCCTAATAACGAAGCGTTCGTATTAAGCGGGTGTCCGTTTAGCCAAGCGGTGTTCTACTGTACTTGTAGTTTAGCTTGACGCGGGCGTTTTTTTAAATTTCTACTTTTAGATTAGACCACGACAATTGCGAGTTTTCAAACTGATTTCATCTGCTTCAGATAAACGGCTGTCACAGCAATTTCATCTCTCACGTCTCTATGTTCTTTAGCTAGTCAGTTGATGACAAATTGGGTGTAATAAAGCTACCGGTAAACTATTACTCAAAATAAGCTAACCTGCAAATAGAAGCTCTGGTCTTTGGACAACTCTCTTCTGTAGTTATCATTCTCAACGGAATAAATGACGACTCACGCAACTAGTACAGACAAGTGGAGTCTTAAAACTCTCTTCCCAACCCCAGAGTACAGGCGTTACACTACAGTGAGGACTCTCAATAGGGTTTTTTAATCCCGTCATCCCGACCCAAATCTTCGCTCAATCCCGTCATCTGGACCCTAATCTTCGCTCAATCCCGTCATCCCGACCCTGATCTTCGTTCAATCCCGTCATCCCGACCCTAATCTTCGCTCAATCCCGTCATCCCGACCCTAATGTTCTCTCAATCCCGTCATCCCGACCCAAACCTTCGCTCAATCCCATAACCCCGGTGGTTGTTTTCGGCATCCCACATCCCGTGGAAACTTTCGATCCCAGTAGAGTCCGGCCTTCTAAAAAGGCAAATCCCGGATCCCGAAAAACCTGTTGTAGTGTGATCGATGGTCGAGTCATCCGTAGTCCATTTCCGAGTTGCCCCAAGCCACTCGGTTTCAAAGCGAGGCTAAGTGCGAAGCCATTGATATGAAACTGACTTTTTTTTATTATTATTTCCCCGCAAATAACACTCCTTTTCAAAAGAAAGGTCTTGCACTTAGCCTCGTTTTGAAAGTAAGAGATTTTAGAACTCGGAAATGACCCATTCAGAGTTGCCTGTGATGAAGTAGCACTCGTAACAGTTAGGGATTTTTGAACAGTAACCTCCATTCCCCCCGGGCCCGGGCCTTCACTGTACTACTTAAGCAATAGAAAACGTTTTCCGTGTTTGCATAGCCTGATATAAACACGAGAGGGGTTGGGAGAATTCGAGACAGTTATGCAAACCCGAGACGACGTCGAGAGTTTGCATAACTGTCGAGAATTCTCCCAACGCCTGAAGTGTTTACATCAGGATATGCAAACACAGGAAAAACGTTTTCTATTGCTTTAATAAAATAACTTTCCCGAGGAAAAAAACGCAAAACTCTTTGTATGGCACTGATTAAAAGAGAAATTCTTATTAGTCGCGAATCTTGTCCACGAAGTCTTGCACGCGAAGCGTAATCAGTTCTTGTTTTGCAAAAAGATGATTCGCAAGTACGGATTTTTCTCGCTTAAGCGAAGAAAAATTGACTCACCTTCTTTGCAACGATTTTCTATGTTTCAGCCGACGAAGGAATGGGTAAATAAAGTAAACTTGTCGAGTTTTGAACTCGAAAACTTTTTCAATAAGCACGAACGCACTAATCGCGCGCTTTTCGGTTTGTTGAACTGCGGTGTTGGTACAATACATACTCTCATGCAAACACTCCTCTCGGCCAATCAGAGCGCGCGTACTATCTTAGTTATTTTATAAATTGCATTTACAAAGTATGGGCCATGTGCCATAATCGGAGGAAAACACAGAAAAATGCGAAAGCGTTTTCAAGGAAATAAATGTCAAACTCGATAAAACCCAGAGCACCTACACTTGATTCTGGGCTCAAGTGTCCGAGCGAAACAGCTTTTGCGCGTGCGGTCGCATGCGTTTAAACGTGGTGAGGGAAGAAACGCTCGCGATCGGTGAAATAACATTCCAAGGCACAAACCAGACAGTGTAAAAGAAGACAGTGTAAAAGAAAAGGCTAACAATGCTACACGATGGAGCTGTTGTTAGGATATAAACTGATGATATAAAAACTATTAAACAACTTTCAATAAAGATGAAGCCAATCTGGAGTCAATTTGCGGTTGTCCCCGTTCATTTATTTGCAGATGTTTCATTTTTCTCTTGAATTACTCGGCACTCTGCCACATGGGTTTTTATTGCAGGAACAGCTTCCCAGCGACAAACCGACTCACGTTAGTTTGAAGCGGTTCGTGTACGGTTGGATGTCTTACCGCTACTTACCGAAATCCTTATCACTAGTTCTGAAACACAGTTGACAACACGTTCACCTAGGTCAGCCGTCCAAGGATCAAATTCTAGGGAGCTTAAGCAATAAGGACGATGACGGTTTTATGAACAAAACAACAGCTCTGCGCGTGCATTACACTTTTTGCACATTTCTTTGACGGCTTACACGGCACGACTGAGATGTAAGGTGAAAAGTCCTAATGCCGCGATGTTTTCAGTGGCGGACGGTAAACTCACGACAACGACTTTTTGTTTTTCTTTCGATTTTCTTCGTGATCCTCGACAGGTAAAGAGACGAATTAAAATTTGAAAGTAGTGACCAGGTGACGAAAATATATTGTTTTAGTTACGTTTCCACACCACTGCCTTCTGGCTTGCTTAAGCTCCCCAATTAACCCTTGACGACTTTAAGGAAGTAATTTCTAATGAGAAGTAACGGCACGTACGCTTACACGTCATACTCTGGAGGGAGTAACAACAATTTGGCTTGGTAGCGGGAAATGCCATATAACTTTGGTATTGCTCGAGCAGGAATCACACTTGAATGGGGCCACTATTATCTCTTGTTGATATCAACAAGTTAAGTTTATAAACAGGCTCAAACCATCATGTAGGTTTACCCGCTTATCTATTCTTAGCGTTCATTTCATTTGAGTTTCAAAGAAATCGGCAGAGACGTTTTTTACCCATTTTATCATTAACACCTACCCCCACCCCCTCCCCCACCCTGGACACGCAAAAAGAATTTTATTATGGGCACGTGTTTAGCCTAAGTGTGTTCAAAGTTCCCTTTTTAATGACACGGTGAACCATACAAACAGGAAGAAAATCCTAGCTGACGCTAATTTTGTTAAATGGTGGGTGAACCGTCACATCGTGGGTATAAAAGAAGAAGCCATGACAGATTGAGCTTTCGAACATCTTGGCCATCAAGACAGACGGGATAATAACTTCGAAGTGACAAAAAGAAACTTGTATAGAAGAATACTGATCATTCTCTCTGGTCTTCGTAAAACATGGTAAGAACGGACAATACTGACTTATTGTTTGAGGTCCGAGTCTTTATCTTTTAGTTCCAATGTTACTTTTTTCTTTGTCATTGCTATTTTCGCCTTGTCTGAGGCCGGCCACTACCACGATAAGACCCAAGCTGTCTTTAAACTAATTATTAGAGAGCTTTAGATTCTGATACGTGTACGACCAAGAAGAGGATCCCCTCTTGGTACGACTACGAGTACGAGATTTTCTCAATACTGAGTATTGACAGTATTGCTCACGCTTGAACCAGCGTCATTTTGGCGGGAAAACGTGATAACCGTCGACATTCTACAACGGGTTTTAGCGAAAATGTCGTAATGGCGGAAACAAGTTATCAAATGTAAGAAGTTTTATCATTTTGCTTTCGGGAGACGGCTTAACCTCCTTCAGTATCAATAACCATGATAACTTTTTTGGTGAAAAAAAGTAAAACGAAGCTTTCCGGGGTGTCTTTTTTTGAGAACACCCGCAAAAACTTTAAGTTAAATCTCGTACTCTTTCTCGTCCTATAATCTAAAGCTCTCTATTACAGATTATTCTAACTCTAGTATTTATTGTTGTTAGGCCTTTCGTCTTGGAGTTAATAGGATTATTCTTCTGTTCGTGGCGTTTGCCATACTGAACGTATCAGTTGCAATAATTTTTGAAGGTAATTTTTCTATAAGCTTCTATTCCCCACTCCAGAAACTATAAGGGGAATGGGTACTAGCTTTTGGCGTAACGATTTCTGAGATAGTTTGGGTACACAAGTGTTAGTTATGATTGGTCGATGTTATTCAAGGCAATCATTAACTATTCATGCAACCTCGTCCCCAGGGCTTTTCCCGTACCCATTTTTTAAGGAAAAAGCCCTGGGGATGAGGTTGCTGTTCATGGTAATTCCTGTCCAACCAAGCGATCCCAGAAATCTTTGCGCCAAAAGCTTCTAAGCATTCCCTTATAGTTTGTGGAGTGGGGAATTTAGTAGTCATCACCCGTTAACTTCACCAAACATCAGAAGTTTTAGCTGATCATCGCCGTTAACACAATATTTTTTTCACGTTTTGCTTTTATTTGTGGACTACTTCGGACACCGTAAAAATGATCCAGTGAAGACACAGATCCTTGATTACTAAAAAGGCTGCAAATATCATTTTTAGCGATTTCCATGCTAACTGGCCGATCGAAAACCGGCCCAAAAACGGAGGCTTTGGTTAAAATGCAGCTGGTGGTCGCCAAAGGGATAAATTGCCATTACTAACATTTAAGAGCAGGAGAGATAATAACGCGAAATTGCTAAGACCCCTGACATTTTTATTTTGTTTCAGGAAACTGCTTTAAGACATGGAGCAGATGCTCCGGATGGAGCAGCTGGGGGACTGGCTGGTTGTGGAAAAGTTGTTTTGACAGGTAACTGATTCGATACACGCTTTTTTGCTATCAGTAGAGAGGTTAAGCATAACGTTTACGTCAAACAATTCATTGCCGTTCCAATACGACCTCGACGTGAAAAAATTGCTTTATGCGACGTTTTATGGAGGACGTAAATACACGACGACTGAAACATATACATCGCATCTCTTTCGATGCCATAAAAAATCCGAATTCATTTTAACAGCGAAGTTTACGCTGCCGCTGGCGTCATGGATGCTAAAGCTCCCTTAAATTGTATCAACTACCATTCACCTCTCCCTTTACACCCACACCCACACGCCCCTGTCCCCCATTAACACCCACACCCACACGCTCCTGTCCCCCCCCATTCGCCTCTCACTTCACACCCACACTCACACGCCCCTGTCCCCCCTCCCCATCCACCTCTCACTTCACACTCACAACCATACCCACACGCCCCTGTCCCCACTAACCCTCACCTCATTTATTTTATAGGTGTGTAAACCTTGGCTATACTGGTGGAAGCTGCCAGTTATGTCCCAGTTCCTGTTGGATGTCCAGCAAGGCGTGGAAGTGTATATGTTTCGGCAATGGTTCCTGCTAAGGACAAAGGAATAAATGAACGCAGTACTGGCCTTTCAAACATGATCTTTAGCTGCAAAGCTATCAAAGATAATCAGATTTACGACAGTTAATCAAATCAATTGTAATATTTTCGGATACTGGTAATCTTAATTAAAAAAGAATCATTCAAGCTTATTTTTTCCGTATAATTTCTAAAGGAAACTGATTTTGTTCATAGTAGATCATAACCATTCCTTAAATAAAGAGAGGCGGACGATCGAGGCATTGTACGATGTGTCCATTTTGTGATCAGTATTTTCACTGGTCAGCCGCCCATTAGTTTACCCCCATTTAATAACCTATCCGATAGGCTCTTTTCTCTTATTGTTTGCGGCGATTCTTACTTTTCTGCTGATAAAATCCTAACATGTGACTTCTCAAACAAAAGCTACTGACCAATATACGCTCCTGCTCGATGCTGTGGATACTGTGACCTTTTAAAAGATGTAACTTCTAAAAAAACTTAAAACGCCACATTACCTTCCACATAGGCAATTACTCGGAACTCGAATTCCTTCAAATGTAGGAATTTCAACGTGACACTGGAAAACGTTTCCTTTAATATGATAAATGGTCTTTATTGCTTTTCATGAAGTCAAAGCTCTTCGAATTCACCTTTGAAGACAGACAGACCAATCTAGAAAGTTAAAACTTTTCATCGGGTTTTGAAACAGCTCATAAATAAGATATCCATTTTGGCTTTGTGGTCTAGGCCTAGTTGCATTAAACGCCTGTAACAATTACTGGTATACGAACGTTTACTTGTAGCTTAAGTGAGTTGCATTAAATCGCTTGAGTGGTCCACTTACGGAATTCACTTACCATTTTAATTGGTAGTATTCACTGAAGTGTCGTTTATGCAACAGAAATTGGGCGTGTAAAACCTTTTTTACGGGAAAAATAGCACATAAATTTACGGGTCCCAAGTAGGTCCCTTATCCTCACTGTTCTTACCAAAGTTAAAGAGATCTTTTACTGAAAAGTAAAAAAAGGTTTTTCTTTAAGTAATTCCGTTCTAATGCGCTTTAATTTAACCTCTGATGTACCCTTTCAAGCCGTCGTTATCAAAAAAAGAAGGACAACAAACATTTCCAGTAGATATTGAAGTTAATTAACGATTGCATGAAAACTTTTTATTGTGAGGCTTAAAAGTGTTCGAAACGACCAGACACTCTCTTTTCATTTAACGATGGTTAACTTAAGAAAATAAAGCGAGAACAGTGTGAGTAAATAATAAAGTACTATTTCAAAGTTACGTGTGTGTATGAGCTACAGTAATAAATTACCAAGTAAAACAGAAACTTAGGAGAGTGCTAAGTGCGTTCCATGCAACACCCATAAATGTACCCATAACAACCCATAACGGATTCGCAAGTGACCTACTTAAGTGCTCTTATAATCAAGTCAAGGTTTTATGCAACCTGGCCCTGGTTCCTTTACATTATATTAGCTAAATCACAGGACTTAATCGTAAACTTGATCAAAACGATTTTAAGAAAGTTTGTTTTGACGAGCATCAAAACTCTTCAAAGGAATGATTTGACTAATTATCAATTCAGTAGGGTGCCGTTTTCTCCGTTCTTGTTTCCAAACCCCAAACTAGTTATTTTATTTCGAGAGAAAAAGACAATCGCTGCTCCCGTTTCTACGCTTTACAGTTTGAAACCGTTTCGTCCAAGAACAAGAACGTCCTTTCATATTAAAGTGCATTAGAGGCAGCACGGTTTCTACCACGGGTTACGCAAAATCTTTACAGTCATTTTCAAAGCACAAAACCGATAATTTCACAAGGCACTATTTCCCCATCCCCTCCTTCCGCCCTTACCAGTGAAACCTTTCCCACGACCGAAGTACGGAGTGACATTAATTAGAGAGGTTAAGAATCACGTGTCGAACGGCAAACGCGAATTTGTACCACGTGACCAACTTTCCCCTTTACTTATCGTTTACCGGTTTATTATTTCTATACATAAATTGCTAGTTTGACGCATTTTTTATCCATAAGAAATTTTGAGCTGTTTTTATCTGCTCATTTTCTATTTTTAGAAATTCTCAACTTGAATCTAACGTTTTCCGTTTGCCTTATACGTGAAGCTTAAACTCCATATTGAGTTTAAACACTCTGGAGTGAGTATTTGCATGTGCTGTGGACAGGGCTATGATTCAATACTGATAGTGAACGCTGCCAATATTGTTTCAAGGCTGGTTGGTTTTCAAATGACAAACTGGGCAACAAGGTTGATGATTCGTAGAAATTGAAATTACTTTGGCAAGACATAAACACGAAACAACCCAACCGAGCAGGGCAGCATTGCAAGACAGCTGTTCCGTCCTCCCTAGGTACGTCTGAGTTGTAGATGCGGCTGAAACAATAAAAGCTAACTCTAGAATCTCTCTAAGTTTTTATTCATGAGTTACACTGCTACATGAAAAATTTCGGCAATTTGATCCGCTTAGAACAGTGGTATTTGAGGTTAATTTGAAAAACCTGCATGTGGAAATTACAAACCTTTTGCAGGTAGTAGTATAAATAAATAATAGCATGATTTGGACGTGATATTTGGCATAAATACCACTCGTGATATTTCAGAATTATCTCAAATTTCACTCCCCTAAAGGCCGTCGTGAAATTACGTATAACAATTTCGAAATATCACTCGTGGTCTTTATGCCTAATATCACTACAAATCATGCTATTACCTATACAAATTCGAGTAAATTCTCGCCTGAGAGTTTTAGAATTGACAGAACATTTTTAGCTTTCTTAAACTTGATATTCAAATCATCTAATATCTTAGTATTTAACTAAGCTTTTTAGGATTTTAGTAGTTTCATGGGGCCATAAGGGAGACAGCAGTGCGAATGTAATTACCAACCCTATTGAAATTAAGTGTCATTCATTCATTCATTCACCTGCGATCAGGATTTTTTTTCTTTTTCGGGAAAATAAAGCGCGAAAGTCGTCGGACGGGGAAAGAACAAAAAAAAAGAAGATGGAGGAGGAGGAGGAGGAGGAGGAGCGCCTGATCGCAGGTTCAAGAATCTCACGGACAGGGGTTTAAACCGATCCAGCATCGCTGATGAAGCTGGGCCAACATGATGGATTCATGTAAACCGGGATTTAGGTCTCGTCGTTTTTGATCTACACTTTTCATCTCAGAGAACTGAATGCTGTGTGTACTCCATTTCTTATATTAGTGACTTGCATAAAACCATCTCATACCTAACCTTTAATCTAAAAATGAAATAAAATCACTCTTACGAATGAAACACTGAACTTATTTCTTTTTCCGTTTGATATCATTAGTGCACTAACGTGAATTTTGTTTCTATGAATAAACTGCGGTTACCTTATAAAAAGTGAAACAGGGATATTTTGTACCAAGTAAAGTTTTGCAGGACAATATCAATAGGAATCCATGAAATTTTTCACCTGAGATATCTTTAGCCAAACAAAAGAGTGAGTAGTTTTGAGACTTCACGCCGTGAAGTTACAAACCCAGTGTTACAATCTCTAACTTTTAGTTACTGAATTCTCTTGACTATTTAGTTCAAAAGGCTTTTTGATTTTCAACTTGTGTTTAAAAAAGATCTACACAGATTTTTAAAAGGAAGGTTTCGTCGTTTATGTCGTCGGATTGCATATTCACCGTGTATTCAGATGTTTTGACAAAACGTATATTACACTTTCACCACGGCCAAAGGCCAGAGTACTTTTTCAGTCAAATATACGAACACGATTAAATAAGTATGACCATTTTGTCGTTGGTCAAGAGGGGTTCCGGCAGTGGGTTGATGTGATGAAATAATTATATTTAAATTTTATTTTCTGAAATGATTTTGCATCACCGCGTCATGTCCTTTTTTTTTATTTTCCATGGTTTTTCCTTGATCATGAGTAACACATTTTAATCTCGGCAAGATGTCATCAGACATATTTTCCTGGAAGATTATTGTCCTATTGGATTGCGACGTTTTGATAACATGAATGTCCAAAGACTATTTATTCTTATCAGTGATACTCTATCATATCATCATATCAACGTGTGGCTGTGAGAAACAAGTGTACTGGAAAGAATCCCTGGACGGTAATTCTTCATTACAAACACAGGTAGGCTAACCAATCGACTTGCTTGCATTGACCGCTTGCTGTTAGTCTAAATTGCACTGACACTTGGCAGTTGACTCTCGGTGTAGTGTAGTAGTCATTTATGTCTCCATAGATTAAACAAGTTTACAGAAACAAATAATTAATAAAGAAATAACTTAAGAGTTGATTTTCTCATTTCTTTGACTGATATTAGGCCCCTCTTAAAGAAACAATCGAGTATAGGTTACTTAGGAGTTTTTTTCTGCCTCAGCAATTTATTATACTTCTCTCTCGTGAAGATCAAAGAACTCAGAAAAATTAAGGTGCACTTAGTTGCAGGCATTTTCTGCTTATTTATTTCCTTTTCCGCAGAAACAAAATCTGTAAACATATTTAGGTAGCCTAGTTTTCTCAGTCCTTCAACTGTTTAATACCGATCCTTCATTTTCCCCTGCACGATTCGCCAAGTCGCGAAAAGTACTGTCTTGTTAGTTTAGGTGCGAAGCAAAATTTGCTGTCGAAGAATGGCTGGCTCCACCGGAAATGTCATTATTAAAAGTTTACCTGTTTCTCACGTCATAAAAGCAATAGAAAATGGAGCAACGACGCAAGCAACGCCCTAAGGACAACGAAGCAGCGATGTCGGCTACAATGTTAAAAGCTACAATGTTAAAAGCTACATGTTGTCGGCTACATGTTAAAAGCGAAGCACTCTTGACTCATCATCAGCTCCAGTTAAATCCTGAATACAAATCAACATTTTCAGTCAATTTTATGCCCTCAGCAACCCTCCCCCCCCCCCATACACACACATACCCCTCCCTCATGTATTTATCGCCATTTGTTGAATTGTTTGTTTCTATGGTAGGACTTTTGTCATCAAGCGATAT